GTTGTGCACGGCCGAGCCGCGGTGTCCACTGTTTGTCCGTTCTCTTCAATCACGGCGGATGTAACGCTCGCAACAAGTGCACGCGCAAATGATTTTTTTTTTATGGTACTTTGACCACCAAACGTTTTATCCGCGTTCTTTATTTACTCGAAAGCCTGAATTTATTTGCGAGCAACCGTACGTCGCGACGTTCAACGCACGAGCGCACGCGTTTTGAACACCCAACGCGTTTTTTTTTTTTATCGTTCTCCCTTCCCCCTTCTCTCGTTTTTTTTTCTCTCTCTCTCTTTTAATTTCTACGCACGTGAGAATAGGCGAATCGAAACCAAAATATTTTTTTTCACGAGCGCGCGCCGAACGGTTTGACAGAGAACTCTTCTTGAGAAAGATGGCGACGCGAATGTAAATGTTGCAAACGTGCAGCGAAGAGCCACAGAAACACAGTGAAAAATGATCGATACTTCGTAGAAAAAGATCGTGCAACGCACATTGGTATTGTTTCAAAATGTTGTTTCGTTCGACGTTGATAGTCGCGAGTTTGTCTTTTTCAAAGATCGCATAAAGTGAGGATACTTTCTTCTTGAGAATTGTAAAAATTCAAACGCGTATAAATGGATTGAAAAATGTCTTTCTCACTGAGTGGATTTGATGATCGAAGACCCCTCTTTGCAAACTTGTTGTGCGAAAAATCCTAATCTTTCGTCATTCAATCCTAATGACGTACCAACTGCAATAAAATTGTAACAAACAGATCATTTTTTAAAGGGTTCGCAAAGACCTTGGTGGATTTGATCGTAAAAAAAAAAAATGTTTTCCCACGTTTCCACACGCGTTTGAGTTTTTACAATTTTCGAAGGGAAAAGGTATCCTCGTTGCAAAATCATATCCGAGAAGAGAAGTCCGAGTTTATTTCTGTCAAAGCAGAAGCTCCGCGCTTTTAAAATGTGACCGGCTGAATCGTTACATGACCTTTCTTCGTAAAGTTACGTCAATCGAAATGATCAATTTTTCACTATCTTTGAGATACGGTTTACACGCTTCGCTGTATTATTTGAATGGATAACTTTTTACGAACATTATCCTGCTTGTTTACAATAAAATTGCGACAAAAATTCACGGTCTTGTGGCTACGGCCGAATATAAATCGCAGGAAACCGCGAATATATTGTATAAAACTGTAGAAGTTTTGTTCCCTGAAGAATTTAAGAATTTTATCAACCGTGTAGTTTCGTTCCGAATTTTTGAAACGACACATTATCCATTTGTTCCGAGTGTCAATCGTTCTTCCTCGAATCTCGTAATTTCTCGAGGGAAACGTATTTTTTTAATGGAATCCTGTATGTACATCACGGAGCCACGGGGGCACAATTTACGATAATTGCTTAACGACATCTGTGTCGAGAGTCGGTCTTGATTATCTTCCGCGAACTAATCTCGTGGAGGCATCGAACAATGACGAATCTGTAATGAATATTCAACGTATCCGTGAATTCGTTCGTACGCGGCTGCTATCCATTATGGATATCCGTTTGGCTGATATCCCAGACAGGCCTCTGGACGTGTTTGCGTTTAAAACTCAGCTCGGAATTGCTGGTCAGCTAAGTTTCGAGAATGCAGCATCCCCTTCGATGTGGATTATTCGAAGTTTCTTCTGCTCCGAATAATCTATACCTTCTCAGAAAATACGCTAAATACGTCTCTAAAGATCTAAGACTAATTAGATCGTGATTTCCCGTGAAAGAAATTTCAAACAATATACACTGGTATTTAAATGTAGCGAGATATCTCCCATTAATAAATCGTACGGCAATAAAAAGAAAACCTTGGGCTTGAAGATCCTATTTTTTTGCAAACGTGTCATTTATTTTATTGAAATACTTTCACATCGCGTCGCAAAGAGTGAAGATACGTTCTATTCTCGAAAATTCTCCGAGTTGTCACAGTACGTGAGAACATTGACAAATCTTTTCCACGGCTGAATCTACAATGAGTGTTCAAGATTGGAAAATCTCCCGTTTGAGTGTTAGGCTCAGATTAGGCGAAAATTAAAGAGAACATTATTCAAAGTTAAGTCGATAAATTGGCCTTAATTTTCAAATCCATGGTAGATTCAGCCTTGAAGCAAACGTTTCAATATTTTTACATACCATGGCAATTTACATTTATTATTTTCGAGAAGAGGAGTGTCTTTACTTCGCCACCTTGCTACAATGTGTAAAAACAATGTTGCAATAAAATGAATAAATTCGGCATTTTGAATCGACCTTTGCAACAAGCCCAGAATTATTATCGTATATTCTTCTATGTTATTCATATGTTATTAAATATTGTATGATTTCTTTCTACAAAGCTATTTTATGATACATTTAATATTCGAGTGTTGACAGCAGTACATTTGAAATTATAATTAAACAAGGACAAGAGTCTCTTTTACGTAGATTAAATATTACATCTTGTACGCATTTCATCACGTTGCTGCGCAGTCGTTGCGTTTAAGATAAATGTCCTTGAGAAAAACCTCGTAACGATGTCTTTGTTGTCGTTAATTGACAGAAGATAAATCTGCTCGTTCGCTAGACATATATCCCTTCGTCGTGAGTGTCGTGGCAATCTGCTGGAAATAATCGAGCCGTACGTGGTGATCTCGACAGGTTTGTTGAAAGGATCGGTGACGGCTGAACGGCCTCGCACGCTGCGTCGCTTGCGGAACGTTTACGGGCCGTCCGCATGCGGAATGGGAACCGGAGGTGACGGTGGCGGTGGCGAACGCCTGGAGGACGGGGAGGTCTCGTTCCGGTCGGAGCGCGACCGCGAGAGGGACGAGAAATCCCTGAGCATAATGAGCCCGTTCGACGAGCAGGAGGAATGGGCCAAGATTTCGGAGATCATGGCGTCGTTTGGCACCGGCCTCGTCAGGGAGTCTGTCTTCGTCACCGAGTTGGAAAAGGAGTTCCAAACGAGGCTAGGTAACGTTGAAACTTTAACAAAATTTTAATAGAGCTACTAATTTGAAACTTTCTACAAGCATTTTGTCAAGTTAACCCATTTGCATCATCGCTCTATTTAAGCTGCCGCGTTGAAATATCAGCGACGTTCAACTGAGGACTGACTCGTATCACCGCGCGCGGTCGATCGTATGTAGTAAGCAGTCGTAGGCTCGCGGATTATTCCGCGCTCGGTGATAGCAGACAGTCGCGGCTCGCGGATTATTCCGCGCTTGGATGTAAATGGGTTAAACTCTCATGTAATTGAAGAGAACTGAATTTGTTGCGAGTGAGAAAATACGACGGAAGTTGGTAATAGTTGTTCTTTTTAGTAATAGTGTAATATATATACGCACATACACACGTGTGTTCATAAAGGTTCGAAATGAGAGAGGTAATCTTCCCACGAAATATTCGATTATTATTCACGAGGTAAATTCGCAGTTTCGTCTGATTTGTACGCAGGCCTGAGTTCAGACACCAGCAGCAGCCCTATTGTCTCCACTTCCGTTGGCCAGTGGCTGTCAACGTTGGGCCTGGCCGATTACGAGAACCTGTTCATTAACTACGGATTCGACGATCTGGATTTCATAGTAAGTGCATTACTTTCTTCATCTTTCTTTCTTTCATCCCACAATTGGTCCCAAAGATGCAATACATTCTGAACTTGGTACAATTGAATTAAATATCCAAAAAAATACCTAAGATACCGGGTATCTTTTATACATTAAACATATATGAAAGTACATTAATATGTACAAAGTATCAAACTCTATTCGGGTAAGTCATATTTGTATTCTTACGAAATATTTTGACCTTATCTTCTTCAGTATTTTCACTTATTCCAAATCCAAAGAACAATGGATTCAATGCACTATGTGTTATTGATGGGCACATGTGATATGTACAAGTGTTGAAGAGAGCGACGAATATTTCATTTGTTTTGTCTCGTTAATTAAGATATATGTATACATATGTATACGTTAAAATAGAATGCTTTATTAATGCTAAAATTATTAAAAATAATTGTTTTAATAAAAATGAAAATTTCATAACTGTATTTTATACGTGTTTCAATATTTGATTTTACCCACCCCTATGGGACAAAACCAAGTTTTCTTCACACGAAACAATTTTTTCCAGAAAGTTTGAAGCATCAGTCTTGTTGTACAAGGATCAATTGAAAGATTCAGCTTGTGTGAATTTTTTTTTTACCATCCGATTTTTTGTTACGAAGCTAAATACATTAAGTTTCTCCTAGCTGCGCTAGGTTTCGACGTTACCTTCAACGACTTGAAAACGTTTTGAAAAATCTCGAAAGATCTGTTCCCCTCGACAGAATGGAGTTCTGGACGAGACCGACCTGAAGGACATGGAGATCACTAGCGATCAAGAGCGCGCGGTGATCCTGGACGCGGTTGGTTTGTTGAACAAACGCGTGGACAAGCGTGGATCCGGCGGCAACGGGCAATCGGTTGACGAGTGGCTGAAGAGCATCCACTTGGAGAATTACGCGGAGACGTTCAAGAAGAACCTGTACACGGACATGGAGCGCGTGAGGTGCGTGTGGGAGGTGGAATTGGCGACCGTGTTGGAGATTCAGAAGCCAGCGCACCGTAAGAGGATCCTCGCGTCGGTCAGCGGATCGAGCGCGCGTGCGCAGAATCGCAACTGCACCGGGCCCAACCTCGAGGACCTCAACAAGGATCTGAACACCTTGGTGAGTGAGACAGTAGCAAGGTCGCGCGCGTTTTATTCTTACCGAAGATTCGTACATGGAATGGACAATGAACGACTTACGTCCACTTTATGAAAGTCACAGGAATTGTACTTGGATCATGGATGTAGACTTTGGCACGTGGTGTTCAAAATTCATTTCTGAAAAATTCTTCGAAGTCATCGAAGCACAGGGCATTCGATTGTGGATTTTTACCTTTCCTTGAAATTACTCGCTAATATACATTTTTTTTTTTTTTATTTTTCGAACTTTACAAAATGCGAGAGTGTAGTACATTTTTACGCGTTATGCGCAATTAGTCTAATTGCCATCGAAAACAACTGTCACTTCACACTTGCCAAATTTCCCTTTCCGCCCGTAATTTCTACAAAGTCGCGAACTCCCTAAAAAGACACGATTGCAACGCTAAACGCGACGATTAGATCAGTCGCATTGAAGCAGGCAAAACGACGAAACCGATCGAGGCGCGAGAACTGGAAACGGAATAACGAGGTACGTCCCGTCGGTCGGGCTCGCGTGACGCTCTTGTTCCGCCGATTGTGTCACCTGCCGCGTGATACGCGTCACGTCGTGAAGATCGTTTCAAGAGCGCGTCGAAATCAGACAAAGAGAGGAAACGAAAGGGGCGGTTGGAGTGTCGCGAGCGACACACGGATCATCCAGTTAAGAATTCCGATTGGCACCGCGGTGGTTCGCTGTGTCTGACAAGGGCCGCGAAGCACTTGGGTGGCAAAAAGAGGGTGGCTACGACGTACGAACGTACGCGCGCTCACGGCAAAGCAAGATCGCTCGATCGCTCGCGACGGGCTTTCAACCGATCACGTCATAATGTAAATAT